ACGTATAACGTAGCCACTTATGTTCAGTCATCGTTGAAAGTTTCCGACGTTCAAACTTCGAAAACTCGGTACAACGGCTTCCAAACTCTACACCAACTAGTAAAACATCGAGCAAACTTCCATCTTTATTCGCAATCGATATCAAATGAGAATCCACAATAATTTAACGTTGAACAATTGTTACCGGTAGCTGCGGCGGGACATAAAACCGATTAACCGTCAACTTTTCGAGTTATACGCGTAACAGTTGGTGCTGTGGCGTCGTGAATCGGTAATCATTTTGGTTAGGATAACGGGATGAGAAAGTACAAAACCCGGCCAGCTTATAAATGTCACATAACACATTCATTATGTAATGTCCCAGAATTTAATGTACAATAAAATAATATTTAATTGCACATAAATTACACTAAGAAATGTGAAGGAATTAAATAGATATGCAGCTAAATTAGTAGAATAGTTGTAGAATGAATGGGTTGGCTCGACCGGGGGAGGACCACACTCTTACAGAATACCACCGTAAAATAGCAGCTTAATGCTGCTGTGTTACATATCATGAGTCTAGAGAACCGGAGACCGTTTTTACTGGAAAAGAGGCATTCCATCTTATTCCTCACGGGTGAATATGCATCTGCATTTTGATTCTTTATTGAGGATAGATGTAGATGTCTATGGGTCACAGCAACCACTTAGCATCAGGTGGACTGTGCTTGTTTGTCACCCTATCCTATAAAAAAAAAGATACTTATAACACATTTGTCCACTAGTGTATTTTATACATGGTAGAGCAATGCTACAGCTATATTATAGTTGTAGTGCAAATGTTTCGACTCGACCGAAGAAGGACCACGCTCTCACACAATACCAACGTAAAATAGCTCAATGCTGTACTGTGTATCGTGTGGTGAGTGAATCATAAACCCTTTGTACTGAATCCGAGGCAGTCCATTTTAGTCTTCAGGTGTGACTTTTGATTCTTAATTGAGGGTAGATGTAGATGTCTATGGGCCACAGCATCCGTTTACCATAAGGTGGGCTGTGTGCTCGCTCACAATGCACCCTTTGCTGTTACTTATTTATTTCAGCTTCTAAGAAAATATATTAAGGCCAGATTCCAACTGAAAGGTATGGTGAGCCATTATAATTACATACTGTAAAGCATGGAAGCCCTCAGAGGAGACATCACATCTGTAGAATTTTGAGTGTTTTGTGCCGTAAGTATAAGGGGAACCAACTCTGTTTGTCTGTCCGCCTTTCTGTCCGTCTGTATGAATGAGTGACTGACCAAAAATTTCAATATTTGTTGTAATATTATGTTGACCTAAAATCAATAAATAAACCCGAACTAACCTAAAATCATAAAACAAATAAATGGGAGTCTGCCAAAGTTTTCAATTTTAGCTCATTTTTGTTATGCGGTCTGTCTATGTCAAAAATTAATTACGCTATTGAATAATACAAATTAACATTTTTTATTAAAAGTGAAATTGTCATTATTTATACAAAACCCTTATATAGTCAATCCCAGCTCAGACTTAGCCATTTTTATGTTTCAAATTGGTTGCATTGATTTTTTTATTTATTTATTTATGTTTTATTGCACTAAATATTTGTACAAAAGGGGAGCTTTGATTCATCAAAGAGAATGCTTGTTTGTAAGTCTCAGTTACACAAAAACTATTAGTCACTAAAAAAGTTTCCGTTTTACATTCCGTAGTACTTAAGTACTATTTTGTTACTCATATATTGAGTAACAAAATAGTACTTATGTAAAACCTTACAAACTTATGTATTTTCAAATTTTGGTGTTAAATTTAACTACATACAACTATGCATCAAGTATTTTATATAATAATCTTTATATAAATAATTGTTCTGTCCGTGTGTATGCGACTGACCTCCTCCTAAACGGCAGGACTGATTTTGATGTGTGATTAAGTTGATTCAAGAATGGTTTACTCACAATTAAACCTGGTAGGTGGCACTGTTGTCGAGTTACATTAATCACCCATGCGAAGCTGCGGCGGATCGCTAGTATTTAAATAATTGTGTACCAACAACCTATAAAGCTTCAGTAGGTGACTCAAAACTATGAGATCACATATTTACAAGGACACAATTTACCTGAAATAATATCTACATGCATGTCATATCAGGTCATTATTCCATTTAGTGCTCCCCTTTCTACAATCTGTTCACAAGTAAGAGACAGCCACTTGAGAAACTTTCTTCACCAATTATTGCCAGTTCTTAAAGTTATGGTGCCCACCTAGTGCCATAACATAAAGATAACAAGGATAACCACAAAAGAATCATAGTAACTTACATAGCCCAACAGATTAAATATATTTACAACAATAATATTGCATAAATAGTTTGATAAATCCAAAAGTGCACGCCATTGAGTGTTTTTATTTTTTGAAAGAAAAAAAAACTTTTAAACAGTGTTGAGTTCAATAACTAAAACAATAAAGATCCTCATTAGAATGTTTGGAATCTTATTTAATACTACATATCTCGATCTATTGCTTATATTTCTATTAAGCGAGGAGACTCACCGATGCGACATACAGATCAACGACAGCAGTCCATATATATTTTTTCAATTACATTTTTTGCTATGTAATCTAAAGTGGATCAATTAGAAAATATACTAATCTTATAATTCAATGTCTGGAGTTATTGGTATGTTAATAATAATATGGATTTGATGCAATATATTCACATTATGATACTGGTGTTAAAAATATCGGTAATAATCAAAATGTTTGTACTAAAATTTGACCAACTGGGGTGTCTTAATCCTCAACCTACTTAAACTTACTGATGTTAGTGCTTGTTTGTTAGACTGTTGCATTTCTTCTCTAAGATTTCATGGCTCAAATAATTACATCATTACTGCCCATAAAATATCCATAGTGCTTTAGCCAAATTATTAAACTAATAACTGGAAATCATCATCATCATCATTACAGCCTTTCATAATTCCACTGCTGAACATAGGCCTCCCCCAAGGAATGCCACAAAGCATGGTCCTGAGCCACCTGCATCCATCGACTTCCTGCATGTCTTACCAGGTCGTCACTCCATCTCGTGGGGGTCGCCCTACACTTCGCCTACCGGTACGAGGCTGCCACTCAAGAACCTTTCTTCCCCATCGGTTATCGGTTCTTCGAGCTATATGGCCAGCCCACTGCCACTTCCGCTTACTAATCCGTTGGGCTATGTCGGATACTCTGGTTCTACTGCATATCCTCATTCCTAAGTTTATCACGCAGAGAAACTCCGAGCATAGCCCTCTCCATAGCTCGCTGAGCGACCTTGAGCTTCCTCATACGGCCAGCAGTGAAGGACCATGTCTCAGATCCGTAAGTCATCACTGGCAACACGCACTGGTTGTACAATTTCGTTTTAAGGTTTTGAGGTATGTATAACTGGAAACATAAAATCTAATTATTTGTCCTATATCAACCATATTATTGATTTTTAGACATAAAGTATACCAAAAGAATGCAAATTTATTATACAAGAGTGATCTGAAAACTGATTATTATACTTTTACATTTTATGCTTGTATATTCCTCACAAGATGTATTTTTTTTGTCATTGAGATTGAGACAGTCTACTTATGGAGTATTAATATTTAATACTCCATAAGTACATTTTACAATATTTACATTATACAATTATGTTACATTATTACCCCTTGTAATAAAACACTTAAATTGTTCGTTCATTACAAAAGTTCACATAAAAATGAAAAAATAAATTCAAACAATATCTCAAAAACTATGTATTTCCATAATATAATATTTTAGGACTAGACTCCAGTTCTAAAACAACACACATAACAAATCTATTCAAGGTTTTGTACAGTTTGGCCTGCAGTGTCGTATGCACACTTTAAAAATTATTTATATGATTATTTATAATCATATCAAACTATAGTATTTTCTTCAATTTTTTTATATCATGATAAGTCTATAAAAGGATCTTGTGCTAACAGATATCACATATTAGAGTTTGATTTTTTTGAAATCATATCTATTCTAAAACTGGAACAATAGTTTTCGCAGCCGATCAAATAAGAAATTATTTCATTTTAGGAAATTCCTTTTTCCTAGAAAATTGTTGAGACCAAGATATAGCTTCATATAAGTTATCTATTGATTTGATTCATTTAAACTGAATTACTTGTCACATATTTAATACGGATTCTAATAATCATCCATTAGATTTCAATCAACCTAGCAATAAGTAAAATATGCATATTGCCACACTATTAAATAGATAGTTTAATTTGAATGTACCTATAAGTACACAATCCTGCATTTATTACTTTCGTTTATATTTTGTGATAGTGTATTTTGTGATGTCCAGTACCGAGCTACAATGTGAACATTTGAAACAATCTAATTTTTATATTTTATTGGTTGGGAAACATTTAGTCTTAATTTATCAATAGAATCTATTTAAACGAGTCACAGATATTTAAAGCTGGCAATTCCCGGACTCCACAGGCTCTAAAATAATTTTGGGAATCAGTGAAACACCGTCATCTTATTGTTCGGGGCACACAAGAATTTCCCGCCTGTCACACCGATCCTAATGACCGAGCCATGTCAATCACAATAATTGACAGACTCTCGCATTTAGTTATTTTCGTACTTTCGACGCGGAGCGGCCTAAAAACTAACGCCCGACACTCCGAAGCTGAAGCAATACAAATAAAAATAATAACCAATTTATTTGTCACCTGTCAATATCGTAACCTCAAATTTCAAGAGATCAACAATAGAACGTGCAGGTGACAATAAGCATTACGGGTTATACAATAAATGATTGCTTATTCTGGGTTATTTTATGATTCCCGCGGATTGAGCTAGTTCAAGTGCATTTCTGGTTTTTGTAAAAGAAAACATGAAGGTGGTATCCAAACACGGCCATTTTCATGCGAATGTATTAGCGTGATGACAACTTGTGGACGAAACATCACTCACCCTTTCCACGTCGAGATCGGTTCCTGTGCACAGTCTCTTGCCACCACTACCGTTGTAAGCCATGATACACCACAACAAAAAACACAAATCACACCGTAAACGCGTTTAGTTAAGACGAGATCGAGTAATCCACCTCCTTTTGCGATCGCGAGCAGACTGATTGAACGAATGTACTACGGAATCGTGAACGAACGAAGAGCGGCAACGCGGCGCGAAAAGATTCATAGACAACAATGACATTTCTAAAAACCATAAAGGTAAACAGATTAAAAAAATTATATTGTCACTTAAATATTTTTTAATGCTATTTATGCTAGTCTTTTTGTGAAATATTATGAAGAATTGTAATTCTCTATCTTTATTGTTGTGTTTCTTAAATTTACTAATAATCAGTCTGTCAACATTGAATATGGGCCGTAGTAGGATGGATTGGACATAATGGCAAAGCTAAGTATTCGAAAACATTTATTATGTACCATGAGTTGAGGGAAATTATGTAAAGTTTAAAGTTTAAAGATTATCCATAGCTACATTTAGTTATCTGTGCTAGCGATTTGGGGTCCTGACATGCTTGTATCAAAAGAGTATATTAAAATCCTTGTAAAATTACTATAGTTCTTTATACTTTGTACAACATAGCTTCATCTTTTTGACAAGCCAAATTTGCGATCGACATAACTTTGCAATGACGAGCATAATATTTTCTTATTTTTATAATTTTAAAAATTTAAAAATAGACACAGAACACAAAGGTATTAAAGATTCAAGCATTTTCCGAAAATCTTAGTGGTTTTTATTGCTTCAAAGTAAGATTTAAATAGAAAAACTGAAAATAATAGACGCTCGAGCAATGTTATATCGGTCGATCGGATTGGACACAAATAATAGGCATTAACAGTTACAAATATTGGTTACAAAGAAGCCTTCATTAAAATCATTTTTATCGAGTGTTGTAGTAGTAGTACGAGTGCGACAGCCTTGTATGCGTCACGTCCGTTGTTGTTGTTGTTCTTTTGTTTTGTTCCGTTATTATTTAATTTTTGTTAAGTTTTTATTGTTGGGTTTTAGTTTTCTTTGTGAACTTTTTGTACACGCCCCTAGTTGCCCCGACAAAGGTCGACTATACAGGGGCCCATACAGCTGTAGATTCGACGGGCAACTAAGGGTGGGGCTCAAAATGCCTATGGAGAATTATTCTACACAATAAACTATATGGGAGTAAACTAGAAAGCAAAGGTACTTACCTGTATCAGGAGCTAACTTCGCTCCAAGGCTTGGGCAGGCCGTGAGTGTGTGTAATGGTAGATAGCGAGTCGTGTACAGTGATGTGTGAATTTGTGGGGTCTTGGCAAGCATAGGCGACCAGCAGCGGCCGAAATCCAGGCTGCTCCAAAATACTGCATCGCTCCAGACTGCTTCAGCGCCGGACCACTTCTTTCTTCACTGTCACTACTCAGTCTCTCAGCTTCATTATACATTTAACTAACTTCAATTCGCCTAATTACACACTCATCGCAGAATCGAATACGTGATATCCGACACGGCAAGGACAGTAGCACAAAATTCGACATTGAATGCCCCGGATTCACTTATAACAAATTATAATTCAATTAAAATGAAAAATCCCAGCCCAGCCAGGCCTCAGACACATACACATCACTAAACACTAGTTTCCATGCACCTTACACCTACCTACGGCCTGACCGAGCCTTGGGCGGTCTTAGCTTCGGATACAGGTACGTACTGTATTTTTCTAGCCTTCTCCCTTCAGTTTAGTATGATAGGACATTCTTCCGTATGGCCATTTGGGCCCGACCCGCGTCTGCCTTTCGAGCAGGCTGCTAGTGGCCCCAGCCTGGGTGACTGCGGGCCGTAACATTTTTGGTAGCAGAGCGTGGTTGGATTGGTTTAATTTGTGTCTACAATCACGCCCGGTCGTAATACTTAATAATAAAATTCTTTTCCTTTGTTGCTTGCTTATTTTGTTTGTTAGCGGGTAGATTTGAAAGCCACGTCCGTAGGTTGCGCAAGCGGGAGTTTGTTAGGGCTAGATATGCGTCGGGTAGGTAGATGGTTATTATCACATAATCGGATAATTATCGTTTTCGTATAATTATAGTAGATTAATTGTCGAAGGGTCGGTTGTCTGAGCGAGGCATTTTTTGTTCATCGACTGTGGTGTGTATGAGTATCTTTATTTGTATTGTAATTTGTATTTAATTTGATAAATAGTAATTTGTATTTGTGTAATTTGTATTTAACTTGGTTTGATAGGAATTGTATTTATTATTTGTTAATTAATTTGTATTTGAGCCGCGTAGTAATTTGTATTTAGAAGTGATGTCATCGCGCTGCCAGGGCTATGACCATGCCGTTTTGTGTCTGGGTGCGAACGGCGTTGCCTCTCAGGGCTCTCCCAAACCCTCGACTCCCACGGGCGAGGGCGCTCAGCCGTGCCCCCTGTCGGGGGGTTGTTTCTCCAGGGGCGGGGGGATCATCTCCCACTCCCTCAGTATGTTGAGAGGGACTTCACTGCCACTCAGCGGTCAGCTAGACCCTTCTCAACTCGTCAACTAAGTGGCCGCGGCTTGAGGTACTATAGTTCCCCCTTTAATGCAGGCAGCCCAGCTAGGTAGCTGCCGCCCTAACTCCCACCACGATCACCTCCACTAATTCTTTGAGCCGTCAACAGCTCACTTGTCAAACTGTTCTATTGTCGACGGCCTCAGTGAGGGTGTACAACCCGAGCGTCGATTGTTTTACGATACGCGCTTTATTGGTTCCGGGTTCACAACACGGTTGGCCTACGCTTGGTTGTTGGGAAGACTAGGGATCCCGGGAGCGTTGAATCGCGCTGTTAGGAATTATTAGATTTGGTTTTGGTCGAGCACTTAGTCAAAAATTCTTTAAATTAAAAATAAAAATGCTTTGGGTTTTCCGCAAAATTCATATTTGTGGCGGTTGTGATTAAGAAGGCAAATTTAGTGTGCTCTTTGAATACTTTTACATATGTTTCTGTAATATTATTTGATCATTGTGTTTGTTTGTTGAAAGGAAAATTGAAATTGAATGATGTGCCCTTTGAATGCTTGTGCGTATGCTTTTGTGATTGTGTTTGATCATTGTGTTTTGTTGGAAAGAAAATTGAAATTGGATAACCCTATTTGTGCCGATAGGAATAAGAGTCATTCCTCTTTTGGTTTTCACATTTTGTTGCCACTGTCTAAGATATTTATTTGGAAAGAGAAATAGGGCTGTCTCTTACGTTTATCGTTTTGTTTAATTTGTCAGTTTGATCTATGCGCATCGGTAATTTAATTTGTTTGAATTAATTCAGTAGTTGAACATTGATGCTTTTGAAAATTGATTGAAATATGAGCATAGGACTACTTGTCTAAAAGGCTAGCTAGTTTGGAGATTATCAGATTGAAATCAGCTGCCGCACTATTGAGTAAATGATTATATGGTGAATGGCTTGGTTATGCCTGCTTGTTTGAAAATTCATACTAGGGACTATCTGTGCGTTTCGTTTGGCTCTCCACAGACGACGTTCATGTGGAATTTGTGGGTGATCTCGGCACTGAAGCTTAGGAGGCCACGCTGGGCCGCTTCGTGTCGCGTCGCTGTTTGCAGACCTGATCCGGTCGGATTGCGGAACGAATCATAGGGGCACAGATAGGTGTTTGAAACAGGTCGTCGGACTTCTGTCCAGTACAGGACTTGTTAAGGTGCTGCGATGCCCAGGAGGGGCATCTAGTGGAGGTTGACCCTCCGGCTTGCCCACATTGGGGCTGTCTTTTTGAAGCGGTGGTTGGGGTTGCAAGATCTGAAGGGGTGCCTAAGGTGGCCTAGTTTTGGTTGTAGATTCGGTCTTGCAACGTGCCGTCGCGACCCTGTCCCGTTTGCCGCTTTGCTCGCGGACATAAATCTTTATGTCCGGGACGGGGGTTTGTTTAGGCCCAAAAAAGGTAATTTGTACGACATCCAATCACGTTCGACTTCGTGAATCGGCCGATGGCACCAGGTGTCACGCGCATCGCGGGGAGGGGGCAGCGGTAGGCTTTCCCAGCGTTTAACGCTCGTGGGCGAGAGATTAGTAGCTCGAAGGCGGCTGGGTAGTTAATTGATGTCTTTCGATGCCCGCTGCTAAGGTTTCGCGAGACCGGCTTTTTTTGGTTTAAGGTCTAGAATTTTGGAAATTGTGCGCGTGACTTCGCTACGTAATTGTGTTTCGTGAAAACCGCCTCGTTTTAGGTTGTCTAGGGTTTAAGTTCCTTACAAGAGGCTTGTATTGTGTTTAACTGATTAAAGTAACTTCTTTGAAAGTAATTGTGCCGTCGCGTTAAGTGCCTTTTTTTGTGTGTTGACTGTTTTGTTAGTTTTACGTGTCAACTAGGCGTATTTTAAATTCTTATCGCGGCGTAGTATTGATATCGAACGAAGTAATTTAGTTGTGTTTGTAACGCTGAACCGTGTGACTTACCAAGAGATCGCGTAAGTTCAATTCGTCATTTGGTGATAAATGAATCCGGGACATTGAATGTTGAACTTTGAATTACAGTCGGTTACTGTGTCGAGTGTCACGGGTTCGATTCTACGATGAATGTGGAATTAGGCGAGTTTAAGTTACTTAAATGTACAATGAAGTTAATAGACTGAAATAGTGCCATGAAGAAAGAAGTGGTCCAGCGGGGAGCCTACTGGAGTGATGCAGCATTGTGGTGAAGCCTCGAAATCGGCCGCTACCGGTCTCCTCAGCTGGGCCAGGCCTCAGATACATACACATCACTAAAAACTACTTTCCATGCACCTTACACCCACCTACGGCCTGACCGAGCCTTGGGCGGTCTTAGCTTCGGATACAGGTACGTACTATATTTTTCTAGCCTTCTCCCTTCAGTTTAGTATGATAGGACATTCTTCCATATGGCCATTTGGGCCCGACCCGCGTCTGCCCGTCGAGCAGGCTGCTATGGGCCCCAGCCTGGGCGACAACAATAAGTTTAAGTTTAAAGTTTATTGTCATTTCCATCTCAGTGGTATGAGGGCTTATGTAATATTCTTCCGCTCACCAGATGTCACTAGTTGGCACTGATGTGAAGTTTTTATTACACAATGACATTTAATTGAGAAATTAGTTTTAAATTATAGTTTATCA